TCCTCCTCTTCAACCCCCACCCAACCCCCGCGTCGCTCTCTCTCTCATGGCTCCTCCTCCTCCAGTCCAGCAGTGACGATGATGAAGATGATGATGATGATGAAACAGCTCTTCCTGCACACGTTAATGTGCTGAACATTATTTCTCTTTTTTACGGCAGGGATCGTTTTCACTTTCCATCTGAGTCGGTGATTCAGCTTCTTCCTGTAAATGTGAGCAGCTCTGCAGCAGAGAAGAAGAAAAACAGAGGTTTGAGTCCACAGAGCCACAGGAGCGGCTGATCCACTGCTGCCTCCTGTGGTTTATTTGTCATTGAGATAATGACAAAATAACAAAACCACAAATTCATACATTCATGTTGCCATCCTAAAGGGGGCAGCAGTGGACCAACACCTCCTGAAACTGGAACAGTCCCCTCTTCATCTCGTCACAGATTCAATCTGACCTTGTTTTCAGGAGTTCAAAGTGTGAACATGTTTTATATTTCTTTCCTTCCAGTCACCACACACACACACACACACACACACGTACACACACACACACTTCCTCCTCTCTCCGTTTCCTCCTCTCAGTCTCAGGAATATTTCAAGATCTTTCCAAGAAATTCTGGGGAATTTGAAGGAGTTGTTTTTTCTGTTGATATCTATAGTCGTCAGGATGTTTGTGGGTTCAATTCCTCTGAACTTGACCTGCAGTCACTCTGAGCTGAAACAGGGACAGAGAGAAAGACGTGTGTGTGTGTGTGTGTGTGATGAAATGTTTTCAGAGACGGTGAAACTGATGAGTCATCAGAGAGAATCTGCACTGTCATGATGCAACACAGTATTAACACCAGATAAAAACCAGGAAGTCAGGATTAAACCAGAAAGTCAGGATTAAACCAGGAAGGCAGGATTAATCCCATGATGTCAGGATTAATCCCATGATGTCAGGATTAATCCCATGATGTCAGGATTAATCCCATGATGTCAGGATTAATCCATGAAGTCCGGATTAATCCCAGGAAGGCAGGATTAATCCCATGATGTCAGGATTAATCCCATGATGTCAGGATTAATCCCATGATGTCAGGATTAATCCCATGATGTCAGGATTAATCCCGTGAAGTCAGGATTAAACCAGAAAGTCAGGATTAAACCATGAAGTCAGGATTAAACCAGAAAGTCAGGATTAAACCAGGAATTCAGGATTAATCCATGAAGTCAGAATTAATCCAGGAAGTCGGGATTAAACCCGGAAGTCAGGATTAAACCAGAAAGTCAGGATTAAACCAGAAAGTCAGGATTAAACCAGAAAGTCAGGATTAAACCAGGAAGGCAGGATTAATCCCATGATGTCAGGATTAATCCCATGATGTCAGGATTAATCCCAGGAAGGCAGGATTAATCCCATGATGTCAGGATTAATCCCATGATGTCAGGATTAATCCCATGATGTCAGGATTAATCCCGTGAAGTCAGGATTAAACCAGAAAGTCAGGATTAAACCAGAAAGTCAGGATTAAACCAGGACTTCAGGATTAATCCATGAAGTCCGGATTAATCCCAGGAAGGCAGGATTAATCCCATGATGTCAGGATTAATCCCATGATGTCAGGATTAATCCATGAAGTCAGGATTAAACCAGAAAGTCAGGATTAAACCAGGAATTCAGGATTAATCCATGAAGTCCGGATTAATCCCAGGAAGGCAGGATTAATCCCATGATGTCAGGATTAATCCCATGATGTCAGGATTAATCCCATGATGTCAGGATTAATCCCATGATGTCAGGATTAATCCCATGATGTCAGTATTAAGCCAGGAAGTAGGGATTAAACCAGGAAGGCAGGATTAATCCCATGATGTCAGGATTAATCCCGTGAAGTCAGGATTAAACCAGAAAGTCAGGATTAAACCAGAAAGTCAGGATTAAACCAGAAAGTCAGGATTAAACCAGAAAGTCAGGATTAAACCAGAAAGTCAGGATTAAACCAGAAAGTCAGGATTAAACCAGAAAGTCAGGATTAAACCAGAAAGTCAGGATTAAACCAGAAAGTCAGGATTAAACCAGAAAGTCAGGATTAAACCAGGACTTCAGGATTAATCCATGAAGTCAGAATTAATCCAGGAAGTCGGGATTAAACCCGGAAGTCAGGATTAAACCAGGAAGTCGGGATTAATCCCAGGAAGGCAGGATTAATCCCATGATGTCAGGATTAATCCCATGATGTCAGGATTAATCCATGAAGTCCGGATTAATCCCAGGAAGGCAGGATTAATCCCATGATGTCAGGATTAATCCCATGATGTCAGGATTAATCCCATGATGTCAGGATTAATCCATGAAGTCCGGATTAATCCCAGGAAGGCAGGATTAATCCCATGATGTCAGGATTAATCCCGTGAAGTCAGGATTAAACCAGAAAGTCAGGATTAAACCAGGAAGGCAGGATTAATCCCATGATGTCAGGATTAATCCATGAAGTCAGAATTAATCCAGGAAGTCAGGAATAATCCCAGGAAGTCAGGCTTAATCCAGGAAGTCGGGATTAAACCCGGAAGTCAGGATTAAACCAGGAAGGCAGGATTAATCCCATGATGTCAGTATTAAGCCAGGAAGTAGGGATTAAACCAGGAAGGCAGGATTAATCCCATGATGTCAGGATTAATCCCATGATGTCAGGATTAATCCCAGGAAGTCGGGATTAAACCCGGAAGTCAGGATTAACCCAGGAAGTCGGGATTAAACCCGGAAGTCAGGATTAAACCAGAAAGTCAGGATTAAACCAGGAAGTCGGGATTAATCCCAGGAAGGCAGGATTAATCCCATGATGTCAGGATTAATCCCATAATTTCCCACAGTCCTGTGACGTGACGTCTGTGAACAGAACAGGAAACAGGAAGTTCCTCTAAGTTCAGGTTTAACCTGGCTGAGAGCCTGCTGGGCCACAGTGACCAGGAGGAGGCGCTCCACGCTAACTCCGTCAGGGGTACAGCCTGGAGAGCTCCACCTGGAGGAGGAAGAAGTGAAGCGACGATAAGGAAACAGTGACCTTTGTAGTGAAAGGTCAAAGGTCACGGCAGCTCCACACAGCGCAGTGTTGAGTCAGATTATATTAGTGGACATGATGTCATCGACCTGCGACGTGTGTGTG